CCCCAAAACCCCAAAACCCCAAAACCCCTATTTTCGATATCCTAATTGAAATGGTCTTAATTGTAGTATCCCCTACTTTCTTGGCTGGATAGGAGGACCATCCCAGGTTGTCAATGAACTGTATAGCTCTAAACACGAAAAGAGACGCGAAAACTTCTTTTGATCTAAAGTATATTAATCATGCGATGAACTCTTGTGTGAGATCATCCACTGGCTCTAAACTAAAGTATCACTTTATTGCGAACAAATGTATAGTATTAGGAAATGCTATCTCTCTTCCTCATAAAATTGGGCGATTGACTACAAAATATGTAACAATAGTCCCTCTAAAAGTAGTAGCCTAATTCTAAGGAGTTTGAAGATGGGGTTTACTAAGATCACAATAAGCCCTATCACAAAGACCCACAGAGAAATCTGATGAGGGTGATTTCTAATCAGATTTGACGAATTAAGAATCCAGAGTAAACTAAGAATTTAAAATAGTTAGTTTCATGATCTTTGCTCTTTCAATTCTCCTGGAACTATTCACTTGAGAGTAAGAATCTTTGTTATTTGGCATTATATAATCTAGTCTGAGCCCAATGGACAGCCCAAGGTATTAATCCCTCAGCTCATCGGAGTTGTAATACTAATTTTCTTCCCAATGAAATGGTCTCTCTTCTTCAGATCCTTCTATATACCATTTTAGATATTCGTTAGGGACCAAAGGGTTACAGAAGCTCAAAGTCTAGAATCAAACTTCTAGTGTTGGCACTTTGGCTCAAACATATTGCAATCTTACAACATTTTGTTTGCTCTGATTAACCACATTCTGGGGCTTTGTAGAAGCAAATATGTACTCCAAGTCATCATTCATTTTTAAGGGTTTAGATTTATCAACCTTTGGTATATTATTCTCCCTTATCAGGTCAGATCTACCTAGAGATCTGTTTGGCTCATCAGTTGTTCTGTATTGAAACTTTATTGATCCAAGTCCCTAAAGATAAATTTTCAAATAAAATTACTAGTCAATCTGACTCCAAAGGTGTAGTACTATCTTTTGGTCCAAACCAGACCTTTCGGTTCATTCTGAGTGCGTCATTCTCCTTTAAGTTACCCAAAGTGCTAAGTCTTTGAATTGTAGCTTTATTATTTGGACAGATAGCTATACATCTTTCAGATTTAAGAAACCTCACTTGCTTACCAGTATTCCTGCTATTAAGACTACCTTGGTTGTTGCCATAGATTAGATGGTTTCTCTTCCTCTGTTTCAGCTCAATGCTTGAACTCAAACTGAAGTTATTTAATCAGAGATCCGAGTCTTTTCTCTAGATGAACGTACTTTCTGCCTAAAGATGCTGGAAGTAAGGATACCTTGGTAATTGCTCTTGAACTTAGACCCATTTGTCTTGACTCATTTTTGATTTATCTTCGTCTTATTTCTGAAAAGTCTCTTTACTGTCTAACCCTACCAGCGAATTGTGAATTCCCCTATAAAATATTTACCATTTTCAGAAATGACTTGAAGAAACCCATTCTTACTTTTTAGATTGAGGAATACTAGTATTTTGGTTGATGCATACTGAAGTACTTTTATTCCGAACCCCCTTGGTTTGGACTTGCTTGGCACTAGCATCAAGCACTCTCCCAAGATGTGTCGGAGATACTCTCTTGTTATCAAGACTCTTTTGAAGATTTTTGTCTAAGGAGCACCCAAGATTTTTATTTTGATAATAAGAGCCTTTCCGGTTGAATCCTCTCTCTTTCATCTCAAGGCTCTCGTACTTCCGGGTGATTTTGCCCTTTTGCTGGCTGTTAAATCTCATATTAAAATTGCTAAAATTTCTACAAAATGATGACCAATTTACTTCTTAATTTCGTGATATTTTAGAGGCAAACTGCTCTGAGGACTAAAGTCCTTATAAACATTCTTGCTTTTGTCAAGGTCATAGCTTTCCTGATACATTTGTTGTATCTTTATCTTATTAATAGAGTGGAAGGGAGTGGTGCTAGTCTGCACATGCTGCTCCTCAGTAGTACTATTAAGCAATAGTTCACCCTTGTTTGTTACCTGGCGTTTCAAGTTGATAGGTTTCCTAGATATTTTAGACCTGCACAACTTCAGTGAGCTGGTTATAACACGAACGAATAGAAAGTGATTTACCCGATGTAAGGCAGACATTCTGTCTCTAGAATGCCCTTATTTAAGCACTTGCTTTGAAGCCTCCACTTCCTATATATCAAAAATATGTATTTTCATTACAAAGGCTTTATCATCACAGACTAACCTTAGAGGCAGATAAAGCAAATGCTACAAATAGTTTGCATAATACAATAATACAGGAAGTTCTTTCACATAGGTGACTTACATGTCAATCATTCTGTCTGACCTGCACATCATCAGCTGTATGTGCTCTAAATTTGAAGTAGTAACTTCTAGAATTGGCCTCTGACATATTTGTAAGAAATTCTTATTTAATTTTATAAACTTTTTAATTTCAAAAAGTAATCCATGCTGTGGGGTTTTGGGGTTTTGGGGTTTTGGGGTTTTGGGG